AATTAATTAGAATTAATTAAATAGTTAATTATGTAATTAGATATTTTTTTGGGATTTAATTAAGTTGTTAATTAGAATCATTAGTAAATAGTGGTGGAATGATTGAAGAAATCGTCATCTAATTTGCAACTCATTGTCTAAATTATTTGTTGATGACAAACACTTAATAATTATTTTCGGTTAGGAAGTATTGGATGTGATATCTAATAATATATATATATATATATATATGTTTTGCAATTATCATTAGTACATACACAATATTACCCACAAAAAAATAATAATAATAATAAAGACCTATATAAACATTGAAATATTCTTCCCTTAGTTATTTTTATTATTATTGCATTATATATATATATATATATATATATAGAAAATAGATTTTTCATTTCATTTGGAAAAAAAAAATATTGAAAGAAAAATCTCAAGAACAAAATATTTAAATAGAGATAATTTTTAATATGTATATTCTTGAGGGGGGCAAAAAAAAACATAAAGAGATAGTAAGAGAATAAAAAAACGAAAGGCTTCGGTCAAGCCTCGGCAATTCACTTGATTAACGTATCTCGTATATATCATTCAATCTTTCATAGTATTTCTTTCAAAAACTAAATTCACGGGTTGGAACACACATTTTTATGTGATAAGCTTAAATTTCTTTAGTATGTGTGTTTATCTGTTAAATACAATATAACATATCTCGTTATATTATTTTTAGCTTAAACGCAGTCACTTTAACGTGATAATTTATTGACAATGAAAAGCAAATACAGTATAATATATGTCACTACATTATCTTTGGTCATACTCTCGCTACCAGAAGCACAAGCTCAAACCCTAAGTCTTTACACAAATCTTCATACGTGGTTTTATAACGGTAGAAATACGTATGTTTATCACGCAATCAAAACACGTACTTTCACATGATAATAAGTCACACGCAATATATTTCGAACATCATAGCCGCATTTCTATTACTAGACACGCACTCAGTATTACTGATTTTGTTATTACATCCAATATCCATTACATTTAATTTTGCAAGTCGGATTAACTCGAGGTAGACGCAGTCTGACTCTTAAATTAGTTAAGCCATGATATTTTTTAACAATATAAGGACGCTTGGCATTAGTAATACGGTACGATCATTGGCTCGGTCCGCTTACGTGCATCGCTCAGTGTCCATCGTTTAGAATCAAACTAAATCGAAGGGAAGAAATAGATGGATATTTTAAAAATTGAGTGACTAAAAATTATGAAAATTGAATTAATATAAAAATATAATTATTGTATGTATGCATTATGAATTTTTTTTTTTTTATATGTGACACGTGATTTTGCTTGGCATTAAAAAGTAATTAAGAAAAAATTAAAGGGTATTCACGTGCATAATTAGCATTTAATTAATTATGTTTTTAAAATGGTAATTAAGTTTTGAAAGCTGTCAAGCATTTTAAATACAAAGCATGAGTTGGACAAGTGCCAAAGTGTGTTAGGCTGGATATTTATTAATTACAGACTGTACTACTTTCTCCACTATACATACATACATATACATATATATATATATATGTGTATGTATGTATGTAGCTATGTATGTATCTGTGTGTGAGTGCATGTCTGTATGTAGATGCAACCCACTAATTCAAAGAGAAGAAAATAATTGGTGAAGGAAGAATTATTAGTCTTTGGTTGGGATGTATACATACACCTTCCCCCTTCATTTGCTTTTCCAACAAGGAGATTCAATTCAAGTTTATAGAATTTTTAATTTTAATTTTTCAATCATAACAAGTTTATAGGTTTGTGTTCTTGTCAAATGTATTGGAATTACTTATAAAATTTCATTTTTGCTTCAACCAAATCTCCAATTTCGTATCGCAACCACGTTAAAACCGTTTATATTATTTTCTCGATCGTATATCCGTCCTTATATATATTGAATTAGATGTAAGAAGAATAATTAATAGTATGATATATTATTAGTCACGATCAGTAAGCTAATATTTTTATTAAAGAATTTATTTTTATAAGATTTAAATCACGTAAGATATAATATCTGAGTGTTATCTCAGACAATTTGCGATGAAATTAAAAAAAATATTTAAAAAAATTTATCTTATATTTAAATTGTATTATAATTTATATATATATATATACATATTTGATATAACATTATTTCTATATCATTAAGATTTTAGAACATAATGTTATAATTAAATTAGTACTTTACATTTTGTAATATTGTTGTAACGACCCCGAAAATCCAAAAAGAAATATATAATAATTTAAGTGCGGAAGCAAAATAAAAGGTTAAGGTTTACATCCCTTACACAATGACTTAAAATTACTAAACAAACATTACGGAATGAATACTCTGAAAGAAACACGAGAAATACGAAAGATAATAGAAAATAGAAAGTATTTAACATCTACTCGCAATCTTTCTGCAGATCGGGCTCTGGAACCAGGTCCTCTTGATCTGAAATGGTTAGATAATGAATGAGCTACGCTAGTCCAGTAAAGATATCACATTATAACACCAGCACAGAAGTAGAGGTTGGTAGAAAATCAAAACAAATAATGGAGCACTAAATTAAGCAAATTCGTTTATCAATCGTAAAATCATTTACAGTTCACTTACCATTGTAGAATTTATG